GTACAGCCGCACACGCATCATACACATGACACGCACACCACACAACACATGAGCACCAGAACGGGGGTGCAATGGGGTGCTCTCAATATCTGTTTCGGGCCCGCAAAGCGTGGCAGGCGCGACACTTCCTCGACACCACAGGGGGTGCGCTGGAGGTGGCAGCTTCTTGACACCAGAAGGGTTGCGCTGGAGGTGTGGGCGCTATCCGCCGTACGCTCGCAAAGCGTGGCAGGCGTGGCAGTTTCTCGACGCCAAAGGGGGTGCGTTGGAGGTGAGGGCGCTATCCGTCGTACGCTCGCAAAGCGTGGCACGCGGGGCAGTTTCTCGACACCGCACGGGGTGCGCTGGAGGTGGCGGCGCTCTCCGTCGTACGCTCGCAAAGCGTGGCACGCGTGGCAATTGCTCGACACCGCAGGGCGTGCGTTGGAGGTGGGGGCGCTCTCCGTCGTACGCTCGCCAAGCGTGGCAGGCGTGGCAGCTTCTCGACACCGCAGGGGATGCGCTGGAGGTGGGGGCGCTATCCGTCGTACGCTCGACCAGCGTGGCAGGCGTGGTACTTTCTCGACACCACCGGGGGTGCGGGGGGGGGGGGGCGCTGTCCGCTGCACTCTGGCAGCGCGTGGCAGGCGTGGCAGTTTCTCGACGCCAAAGGGGGTGCGCGGGGGGTGGGGGCGCTGTGCGTCGCACTCCCGCAATGCCTGGCAGGCGTGGCACTTGTTTGAAATTGAGCAGCGTGTGTGCGCAGGGGGTGGGGGCGGTAGTCTTTGCACAGGCGCCAAGCGTGGCAGGCGTGGCAGTGCCTCGACACTAGATGGTGCGCGCAGGGGGTGTGGACGCTATCCGTCGCACGATCCGCGCTTGCCATCAGCTGCACCCAGATCAGCACGCATGGAGAACAGTAAACGCCTGGGCTCAAGCCGACTCGGCGCGCTAAGGTTTTCACGCGGGTGCGGCACGATTCGCAATCACAGGCACCACGCGCTCCCTTGCTGCGGGCGGCACGCATGCGAAGGCCCGCTTCCATCCGTGCTCAATGCACTCCAGAAGCTCGATGAACACATGGCCACGGGGACGCGGGAGATCGAGGCCCCCGCCCTGGAACGCCAATGGATCTTGCCGGCGGCGTGAGGTCGTTGAAGTGCACTGGCGCCAGAGTCTTTCCGACAAAGGCAGCGCTGTCCAGCCGCATCGAATCCGCGCGGCCCGCGCCGCTCCTCGACGATTTCGGAGCGGCCGCCCAGCTTTTGTCCTCGTGGCAACCGCAGCCCAGAGAATGTGCATCGAAGGGCGCTCACAAGTTGCATGCCGGCGGATTATGCTTGTTTTGGATTTTTCTTGCGCACGCAGCTCAGAGACTCTCCGTCGAAGAGACGCGGGGACAGACGTGTGAATGCATGATAATAAGGCCAGATCAAGTAAGCCGAACTGGGTGAGAAAGCGAGGCGGGCGCGCGGGTGAGCGCAGCATGAGGGGAGGAAGAACGGATCACTCTCGAGGATCCATAGGGCGTTTGCGAGAGGGGTTGGATTTGCACCGTCTTCCACAGTGGCCCCCCCCGGACCAACCGCGATGCGGCAGATCGTCTTGCGTTACCTCACTGTTCGTTGCCGCCCCAGGAAGCGGCCTTCGGTAACCACCTCGGGCCTTTCCCCCATGGAGGATAGAAGGAGGCTGGAAGGCGGGGAAGAGGGAGCAGGCTCAAACAATGGCGTGAGGGATGGCAAAGTAGGGAAACAATCGCGACGAGGTCTCAGAACGCAGGATTGCGCAGAGATGGTACTGATAGGCAAACGCATAATACTTAAATTAAGTGCGCGGGTTTCTCGGTAGCGTATTTTGACAGGATGGTGTGGGGGGGTCATCATGGCGTCCCCGTTGTTCCTGGTTGGCTGCCTGTCGCTTGGGGGAACAGGTGCATCTTGATAGGAAGCAGTGATAAAGTCTTCCCCCGACCACGGCAAAGAAGGATTCTAGCATAGACAAGTCAAAACTTCGTTAAACCACCCAACCCCTGAGGGCTGGTGGGATGCCGGCGTGCCGGCCCATCCGCTATCATTTTCCCCACCTCACCTACCGACTTCGGCGTGCTGGCCCATCCGTTATTCGTTAGCCCGTCATTGCGACTTCCAAACCCCGCTCCCACCGACGAACCTCCAGCCGCCACCAACCCCAGCGCATACGCCAGCACAGAAGCCAACACCGACGCCAGTCACACCCTAGCGCATACGCCAACTTCGACACGAGCGCCAACGCCAGCATCGGCACCTGGGCCTACGACGCCTGCCTCAGCGCCATCGCCTACACCAGCGCCGGCGCCAGCGCGGACTCCGACACCAACGCCCGCACCCACGTCGGCACTCGCGCCAACGCGTACGCCAGCACCAACACAAACACAAATGCCAGCGCCAACGCCGCATAAACACCGGCACCAACAGCGCCGACGTCAGCACGGACGCCAGCACCAACCCTGGCGCCTACACCAGCATCTGAGGCCCCGCGTTGCCTACCAAATCCGGCGCGTTGGCCCATCCGCGGTCAGATCACCCACCGAACCTGCCGTTTTCGGCGTTTGCCGGGCCACCCCGCCCTGACGGGTCACCCTGGGCGCGCCAGTCAATCTGCAATGCTTGCAAACCCTCCAACTTTCAATCAGTGGCGAAGTGTTTTGGCGTGCCGATATGCCCACCCCAAAAGGTCGTAAGCACTCATGTGGATCATCTCTGTTTGTGGCTGTCTAGTTTAAGAACAATCGGGAATGTGACCTTCGAACATTATCGGGCTCTCAGAACCTGCCGTGGTAGGCCTGAAGGAATATCGGGGCGGTCGGTCCCTGCTCAAAATTTACGGATCAGATCCGGGCCCGCCGGCCCATCCGCTATCAGAGGCCCCAGTTGGCCCACCAATTTCGGCGTGCCGGCCCATCCGCTATCACGTCTCACGCCCTGACTACGAATTTCGGCGCGTTGGCCCATCCGCCATCCGCCTTCCCATCCCTCCAACTGCCGACCCGCACCTCCACCTACCAACATCCAGCCGTCACCAACGTCCAGCGCCTACACCAGCACGAAAGCGAACACCGACGCCAGTCCCACCCCGGCGCATACGTCAGCTCCTTCACCAGCGCCAACGGTTCTGGCTTCAGAAACTACGTATTCCTTTTGCGCAAGTGTCGCGGCTGCCACGGGCACGTGGTCAGAGTGTTGTGTTGCATGCATGCGCCCAGCGGCCTGACCATGCTGAGTGGCACTACCGCGGCACTTTTCGCGCGGATCATTTCGCCTATTGCAGGTCGGCCAGCAGTTGTTCCACGGTCGTGAGTTATCTCCTCCTCCTCCTCCTCCTCTTTTCCCCGTCTTCCTCGGCAACTTGCCCGGGCAATACTTGTCACAGGTGATGGTTATTATTCTTGGCGTCTGCTTGCTTAGCGGGGCAACATTTGTCCCGTCTGGGCTGGCGCCGGCAACAAACAGCACCAGAGTCGCGACGGTCGGAGACTATTCGTGGCTGTTCTCCATGCCCTTCTCCCCAAGAAATGCATGGAGGATTCTCCAGGAATTTGGCCACGCAGACGCAAATTTCACGCACGCTACATGTCACAGGGCCCCCCGGGAAGTTCTGAGCATCCAGGGAGGCCGTGACAGCCAGAGCGGGTTTCGGCTTCCGCTCCCCGCTTTCCGTTTAACGAAGGAGCAGGTAGAACGATAGCGCTGGAGACTGGAAATTGAAAACTGCATTGGAACAGCGCCTGGGACCGATGAGCTCAGGACTATGTACGTGTCACGGTTGCTGAAACCCGTGTACGTGGCCCCACAAAGGGGCTGGCGGATGTGCATACGTGTGTCAGTGCAGCATGTCGTGCCAATTGTTCTGTACGTTGTGCATCGTGCAAGCTCTCTGGTGCAACATGTGTGGTGTGCAGCCTGTCGGGTGCAGATTGTGCGCTGCAGGGCAGCGTGGTGCCCTGCGTGCACGGGGCAGTCTTTACAGTGCAAGCTGGGCGTCGCAAGCTGTGCGGTGCACGGCTTGGGGCAAGCGGTGTGGGGCGAGCTGTGGTGCAAGCGGTGTGGGGCGAGCTGTGTGGCGCCCCCCCCCCATCGCACGGGGCCGCCCGCGGGCGGCCACTGGCGGGCACGGGGCGAAGCCCCTGTAGACCCACCCCAGCGCACGGGGCGCCCGCGAGGCGCGGGTCGCACGGAGCCGCCGCGGAAGGGCACCGGGCGGAGCCCTGAGGCGCCCAGAAGCGGTTCACCGACCGAGGCGCTCCACACACGGCTTCGCCTTCGAGGATGAAAGGAGCTGTCACCTCTTTCTCGGCGGAGGGCGGCGGAAGGGCGGCGGAGGGTCGGCGGAAGCAAGACGAGGTCGCCTCAGAGGGCGGAAGCCGGCGGAACGGCCGCGGAAGGTGGCGGAGGTAAAAAATGCGCCTCCAAGAGATGACAACGTTCTTGGGCTCAGGCTCAGGGGTTCCGGAATCCGCCGAGTGGGTGCTGGGCGAAACCACGGCAGACCCATCCGAACATTGGAGCAACACAAGAAAGAAACCTTGATGCAAGCAGTGTTCATGGAGGTCTGACGTCTCTGGGTTCCCTCCTCCTCCTCCTCCTCCTCCTCCTCCTCCTCCTCCTCCTCCTCCCGAGGTGTGCTGTGGCCCGCGGCGCGCGATTTCCCGTCAGCTCCGCCCCGCCGAGGGCCCAGCCCTCCAGAGGAGCCCGGGCTCGTCCCGGGCGGCCGCTCGAGGCCCAGCGGGAGGCCCGAGCGAGCAGGGCGGAGGGAGGCAGCCTCCTCCTCCCGCCGGGCCCCTGCGGGGGTGGGCGGGACGCGTCGCCACGGCCAGGTCATCGTTGGGAGTCCCGGTCGGAGGTTGGTCCATGGGGAGGCCCAGGGCCTGCTTGAGTGGAGGAGGAGAGCGGCGGACCTCATCTCGTCGACGACGACAACGACGACGACGACGACGACGACGACGACGACGACGACGACAACGGTTGTTGGCAGACCCCCAGGCGTGTCCAACGGGCGGTCGCCCGCGCGGGCCCGAACAGCCTCCAACGCGTCGAGAGCGTCCAGCCCCCACGAGTACACCATCTGAGGACCCGCTCGCGCTGGGGCGCATCCTCTGTCTCGTCTTCCTGTAAAGGCGCTGAGTACGATGCGCGACTCGCTCGGGTGTGCACTGATGAAAGTAGATGGGCCGGCGGCTCCGCGTGCGCCAATGACGCCCGCGTAGTACATGACAGATTGTCGATCCGGGTCGCGTGGCCAATGCGGCCTTGCGAATAACTGAGCAAACCTAGGTGAGATGATTATGGTAACGCGATGTGGAGCCACTTTCGGCCTAGTAGCTGTGTGGCACCACATATTTATGCAACCAACGGGTGGTGTTGGGGCCCTTGTTTTGAAGAGACAGCGCCGCGCGTTCCTCCTTCCTCCTCCTCCTCCTCCTCCTCCTCCTCCTTCTCCTCCTCCTCCTCCTCCTCCTCCTCCTCCTCCTCCTCCTCCCCCTCATCCTCTCCCTCCTCCTCCCCCTCCTCCTTCCTCTCATCCCTGCCCCTGCCTTCGCACCAGTCACCAATTTCGGCCCACCCCTCACACGCTTCGTGGCCCCATAGAGGGCTCCACCGAAGGCGCCAGTGGCTGCGTTCGCATGCGCCCGCCGCACCCAGTGCGGCACACCCCTCACACGTTTCGTGGCCCCATAGGGAGTTCCACCGAAGGCCCGAGTGGCTGCGTTCCCATGCACCCGCCGCACCCATGTCGGCACACCCCTCACACATGGCGTGGCTCCACAGGGAGCTTCACCGAAGGCCCCAGCGTCTGCGTTCGCGTGCGCCCGCCGCACCAATTCCGTCGCGCCCCTCACAAGTCTCGTGGCCCCATAGGGAGCTCCACCGAAGTCCCCGGTGGCTGCGCTCGCATGCGCCTGCCGCACCCAGTGCGGCGCACCCCTCACACGCTACACACGCTTCGTGACCCCATAGGAAGCTCCACCGAAAGCGCCAGTGGCTGCGATCGCATGCGCCCAACGCGCCCATATTCGCAGATGGAAGCTGGAAAAAGTGACTGGGGCCAGCCCTTCCACTCTTTCCAGCCCTGGCCAGTTTCCGTGTTATCGTTCCAGTCTTGGCGACCGCATCCCCACTGTTTCGGGCTCGCTTCACACACTTCCAGTTTTTCCAGCCCTGGCCGCTTCCACTTTCACTGACTTTCCAACTTCCACTTTTTCCAGCTTCCCTCTACATACCTCACATGGTCCGTGGCCCCATAGGGAGCTCCACCGATGACGATGCTCACAACTGCTTTACTCACAACTGCATACTATCAGGTCCTTCGCCAGGCCAATTTGGACAATTCAGAGCGTCGAGCTGTATGAGCAGCTCCATGTGCGACAGCGTCGGCCTTTTTGGCCTTTTTCCTCCAATGTGAGTGAGTCGCTGTTGCGCGTCATTGCTGGCCTATTTTACTCAGCCCTATTTTAGCCAGGCCAGGTTGGACGTTGTTTTCGCGAGGTTCTGCCATGTTCGCCCTGGCAGTCAGGCTCTAGTACTTGCCACGCTGTCGTCGCGCGAACACAAAAATGTCTGGCAGATATCTGGCGATCCTCGGCAGGAATCCTTTTTTTCTCTGGTTTGCCCTTAGTGCACGCTTTTGGCCGCCGCCGCGGCCACATTTATCCCAGGATGTGTCGCCCTCTCAGGATGGACCCCCCTTGGGGAACGAACAGTGACATAAACATAGAAACTCGGAGATCCACGCGGATCTCTCGGATCGGCGCTGGTGCCCCCTGGCGGCGACTCCAGCGCCGCCCCTGGCAAGCGATCCGAGACATCCGCGCGGACCCTCGAGATTTCATGTTTGTGCCATTCGTCGCCCAATGTCGGGTCCGACGGACCCCACAGAGCACGGCACGGCCGCTCGATTGGTGACGGGAGTGTTAGGACTGTCGTGGCTCTACCCGTGCCAGAGGGCATATATTATAGTTCGCTCCGGTGCTCTGCTCAATCACACCTTCCCTTCCTCTGCGTAGAACTCGGCACACTGTGTTTTGAGAAGCCAGCAGGGAGGGCAAGAGCCTCACTTGAAATTCGCATATGTCCCGCAATCGCCCTCCATGCGTCCTCGTCTCTTGTTCGTCATGGCCGCATTCCGATCGCGATCTACTCGCATTCGATTCGCATTCGGGCCATACTGATTCACACGTCGAGTGTTTCCATCTTCGCTCTCGCGCTGTTTAGACACGCGCGCACGACACGAGCCGAATCCGAAGCAGATTCTTCGGGGGCCACTTTTCTCGCGCACGCGCACACGCACAAACACCAACATCCAGCATGCGTGTTCTTGCCACCTAGCAGCCGCTGGTCCCCGCCCTGCCCCCCGCTCTCTCCCGAATTCCTTGTCCATCCCAGGAAGGAGAAGGGAAGGAGGGAGGGATGGAACATTCGGGCCGGGCGAAAGGGGGGGATTGGGAAAGGGGGGGTACGAAATCTGCTGCATGCAGCTGGTTTCGGCCTCACAGAGGGGCCCATTCCTCGATACATAGCCGCCTCCGGCGCCGGGAGGCGCCGGGAAAATCAGCTACGCGAGCTGATTCTCAAACCCCCCCTCTGCTATCCCCCCCACGTCGCCCGACCCGAAACAGGAGAGAGAATCCATGCGGTGTTTGAGCGGTTTGGTCCCTCTTTCGGCGGCGAGCCCCGGGGGGAAGCGAGAGGGGGCAGGCCGCGTGAGAGGGTGGCTGGGCTTCTGAGAAGGCGCGATGGCTTCTGAGAGTGGTTCTGTTCCGTTGCATCTTCGGGGGACCCCGCCTGTCCCCAAAATTGGTGTCTTTTCTTATGCCCGACGCGGGCTCGATGCGGACTCGACGCGGATTTGGCGTAAATTCGACGCGGATTCGACACGGATCCAGCGAGGCCGACATGGATTCGACACGGATTCGACGCGGATAGGGCCGCGACGGGACAGACAAGGTCCCCCGAGGATGCAACATAAGTTCTGTGTCTTCGGGGAAGGTCCAGGAGACTCTTCCGCAGGCGCGAGGCCTCCCGGGAAGCCCCGCGCCACCGCTCGCTGCCCCCCCGGGCTCGCCGCCGATTTTTGAGGCTCTGGAGGCGGAGGCAGGAAGAGAGAGGAAGGGATGGCAGAAAGGCTGGAGGAGAAGACTAAGTACAGTCGGGGCGCTGGAGAAGGAACCCTCTTCGTTGGGGAGGGGCCCCGTATTCCTTAAGTGTTTCGCAGCTTCCCTTAGGTTTTCCTTCGGTTTTCGATGGGAAATCGATGTTTAACTTATGGAAAATAGGGGCCTCGTTCCTTAGTTAGGGTTCCTTAGGTCAACGCTCCGACTGTAGGTGTAGGAGGATCTCCACCCCCACCTGGTGGGTGATGCTCTCACCACGGACCCTGACCCCCGGAGGTCCTCGGTGGCCCTTGGAGGTCAAACAAACGCCGCAAACGTCAGGTCGGGCGTGTCCCCCTACAGGCGGATTTTGGGCGAAAAATTCAAGATGTGCCAGAAATATATCAAAATGATTATCCCGGCAAAGCAACCTAACAGCGATGTGTAGGAGCATATCTGGAAGCATTCCCCTTAAGATTCGGATGAGAATCCAGTTGTAGAATTCTGCTGTTCTCGCAGTCGTAGTCGCATTCGCGATGACAGTCGCAGTGGCAACGGCAGTCGCAGTCACAGCCTCAGCCTCAGCCTGCCTCAGCCTCAGCCTCAGCCTGCCTCAGCCTCAGCCTGCCTCAGCCTCAGCCTCAGCCTGCTTCAGCCTCAGCCTCAGTCTGCCTTCAGCCTCGGCCTCAGCCTCAGCCTGCCTCAGCCTCAGCCTGCCTCAGCCTCAGCCTCAGCCTCAGCCTGCCTCAGCATCAGCCTGCCTCAGCCTCAGCCTCAGCCTGCCTCTGCCTCAGCCTCAGCCTGCTTCAGCCTCAGCCTCAGTCTGCCTTCAGCCTCGGCCTCAGCCTCAGCCTGCCTCAGCCTCAGCCTGCATCAGCCTCAGCCTCAGCCTCAGCCTCAGCCTCAGCCTCAGCCTCAGCCTCAGCCTGCCTCAGCCAGCCTCAGCCTGCTTCAGCCTCAGCCTCAGTCTGCCTCAGCCTCGGCCTCGGCCTCAGCCTGCCTCAGCCTCAGCCTGCCTCAGCCTCAGCCTCAGCCTGCCTCAGCCTCAGCCTGCCTCAGCCTCAGCCTCAGCCTGCTTCAGCCTCAGCCTCAGTCTGCCTTCAGCCTCGGCCTCAGCCTCAGCCTGCCTCAGCCTCAGCCTGCATCAGCCTCAGCCTCAGCCTCAGCCTGCCTCAGCATCAGCCTGCCTCAGCCTCAGCCTCAGCCTGCCTCAGCCTCAGCCTCAGCCTGCTTCAGCCTCAGCCTCAGTCTGCCTTCAGCCTCGGCCTCAGCCTCAGCCTGCCTCAGCCTCAGCCTGCATCAGCCTCAGCCTCAGCCTCAGCCTGCCTCAGCATCAGCCTGCCTCAGCCTCAGCCTCAGCCTGCCTCAGCCTCAGCCTCAGCCTGCTTCAGCCTCAGCCTCAGTCTGCCTTCAGCCTCGGCCTCAGCCTCAGCCTGCCTGCCTCAGCCTCAGCCTGCAGCCTCAGCCTCAGCCTCAGCCTCAGCCTGCCTCAGCATCAGCCTGCCTCAGCCTCAGCCTCAGCCTGCCTGCCTCAGCCTCAGCCTCAGCCTGCTTCAGCCTCAGCCTCAGTCTGCCTTCAGCCTCGGCCTCAGCCTCAGCCTGCCTCAGCCTCAGCCTGCCTCAGCCTCAGCCTCAGCCTGCCTCAGCATTTAAAATGTGGCCCGGGAATGGAGTTCTGGGAACTCGAAGAACACGAAGTGGCCTACAGTTGGCTCCGGGCATTCAAAATCATGCCCAGGAATGGAGTTCTGGGAACTCGAAGACCACGAAGTGGCCTACAGTTGGCTCCGGGCATTCAAAATGTGGCCCGGGAATGGAGTTCTGGGAACTCGAAGAGCACTAAGTGGCCTACAGTTGGCTCCGGGCATCCACAATGTGGCCCGGGAATGGCGTTCTGGGAAGTCGAAGAGCACGAAGTGGCCTACAGATGGCTCCGGGCATCCAACATGTGGCCCAGGAATGGAGTTCTGGGAAGTCGA